GGCTGTCTTGCTTTCCAAAGTAAGTTGATGGGGAAACTATTTAATCTAGAGGACTAACTGGGTTATAGCCTGATGGTAGAGTATTGTGAATCCATCGTCAAAGAAAACTGTAAGTATTCTGAATTGCTCTACCACTAGATGATGATGAACTTTGCTGTTCTGTAATGTTGTTTTGTTGTTCCAGTCTTTCCAGTGATTCTATACGTGTTCTTATAGAACCTCCGTATGTGCGCACCTGTACATGAACACAGATATTTATTTCAAATTTAATTTAATTGAAATAAAAATTTGTCTTAAATTTTCTGGATTTAAATGAAAATGCTGAATAATAGTACATGATTTTAAATCATTAAAGGGAACCAGAAATTTTAAGAATATTTTATATATAAAAGCGAGCTCCTTGCCCCACGGTCATACTTATTGAGCACCATTGTCTCTCATATTTATAAAACTCTTTAACACTAAGAGTTGTCACGCATTTGACATGAGGCGTATTCAATTTTACCAAATGTTTTCATTAAAATACCAATTATATACAGAACATTTAGTTACATTCTGTTAAATTCCCACATTCGGATTAAACAATTGTGAATGTATATTATTTAACATAAAATTCATGGAAAATGTTATTAAAACATGCAACAACAAAATTAATTAAAAAGTCACCATTTCATATAAAAGAATAAAATTCAGTAATATGAAATTTACACAAATTGATTACAGCAGGGGAAACGAAGTACAGTTTTCTCCTAAATAATAAAAGAAACAATAAATATATTGCATTATTGAGAAAGTATTAGTTATAAAAAATAATTGATTTAAGAAAATATTATGACTTACAAAATAATCCGAATATGGACCTACATGAACTATTAAGATATTGTTGAAAACCTTTGTAAAGATATAAATATCAATTTAGTATGTATATATTACCAGCCGCACGAAAAATGGGTGCATCACTTTATTTATTTACTCACTGTCTGTAGATTAGACTTCAGACTGTGGGTGTTGGCCACTCGCGTTCACTCAAGAGGAGTTAGACTTCCACTGCTGACTCTTACTTCTCTTGGCTCTGGAGCTGCTGGAGGTCTTCTTTCTTGTAATTGTTGTTGATTTACTCCAGCTGTATTATGGTGTCCCGACCGTGTTGTGTGATTTGCCACAACAAATTCTGTTAAAGTTACATCTGCTGTGCCCCCAGATTCAAGAGGTATGGCATTTTGACGAAAATGTTCAAGCATGTCATATATTGCAGGAAAACAAAGATGTTGAACTCGACAATGTCCTTGATCATTTAATGTCATTCGTAAATGCTACAATGAAGGTGAGAAATAAATTAATTTGAACAATTTTAATTGAATTTAACATAACAACTTTATGAAAAATAATGTTACCTTTGCTCTGCCTTGGAAGTTGAAAGTTAATACAAACTCTCCCTTTCTTGTTTCACTTTGTCGAACAAGAAATACACCATGACCATTAGCAGCACTATGTAAAACAAGTTGTGCTGCATCTGATCTAGGAAGGGTCCCATGAAACCATGGATATTCTCTTAAACTGCTGGATAAGTCCAGTTCACCATCATTTGTGGTCACTATAACAAAATTAAATTTTTTGTGACATACAAGTCATATAATTTAAAAAACTTTTTATGAATAAATTTATCTTACTTTGTTCAATATCTTGTTGTGATGAACATAATTCCAAATTACTATTGCTTCTTATACGAAGTCTTGGAGGTATTTCTGGAGGATTATTTGGTGCTTCATCGCCATGTTCGTGAGATGTAGATCGAGAACTTTTACTTGCAGAGTTGGTTCTCAATCTATCTCCTTCATTACTAATAGCTAGTGAACCATGCCCTAGGGAATCTCCAGTAGCATCTGTTCCAGAACTAGGATTAATAGAATTTTGTTGCACTGTGCGCATACAGTATTTAATAGTAGCTAACCATGATCTCATATCATTTGAATCATGAGCTTCTATTACAAATTCCATATTTTGTGTTTTTAACACAAAAGTATTTTCATGATCTGGCATTTCTAATGCAGTTGTTTCTCTAGCTTCAGTTATTGCAGAACAGAAGACACCACTGCGTGGTTTTACTGCTTTTGGGGGAGAATAAAATTCTAACATGTATCCACCAATTGCTTTTATTAAAGCAAGTCTAGATTTTTCCCATTTTTGAGTACCATCAATATTTTCTCCCATCAAAGAATTAACAATGCCTTCTTTTCTACATTCGACCACAATCTTTGAAAGTTTAGCTTTTGAATGTTTATCTCTACGATGTTCACTATGAGATAATTCCACTTCATCACTTTGCTGCTTATGAAAGAGACTTTTACCCTTCTTAAGGCCTTTAAAAGATAAACGACGGAAAAAAGGTTTGTGTGCAGGTTTTGGTGATATTGCATCTCCATCATGTTCAGAGTAATCACTAAATTCTTCATGAGATGAGATACGAATAGGAGCATTATTATTTTGACTTACAACATTAATATCTCTATCATTAGTTGCTGCATGCCTTGTGTCATACAATGATGGAGATCTGTAAAATATAATAACAGAATTAGTAAAAGTTTTATACAGATTATTTTTGTGTTTTTATATGATGGTACACACAGTTTAATAAAGTATAAAATATCAACACTATGAAAATGAAAGTAATAGGAACGTATCTTTTAGCGTTATAACATACCTAATCGTACGACGTAGGTATTCACTTTCGAAGTGTTCACAAAAACTTTCCACAAACTTTCTTAAAAAATCGCGATGTGAAAGATTCGTTCTAGCACTTTCAGGTAAATTTAAACTAACATAGGTACAAAAAGCCTTGGCAAAATCAGAAGCTGAAGCGCGGGCGTGTCTTTCACAAAATTCTATCCAACCAGGTGCAGCTTCAGGCGACACGGCAACCGCCGGCGCCGTTGTTGTTGTCGACGTAGCCGTCGTCGTTACTGTTACCGCTGTCGTCGTTGTCGTTGTTGTTGATATTATTGTACCCGTTGTTGGTGTCGCCGCAGTTATGGTATAAACACTCATTACCGGCGTGTCCTCACGAAGGGGGCTAAAGACCTCCCCCTGCCACTACACAATCACCGCAAAAGTCTTAACACAATCGTAAAACTCTATGTATAGAAAGCACACGCGTGTACATATACAAACATATATCGGATTTCGTCGTATATATGGACTAGGTACGAGATAATATAGTACCGGATATTGTTATTTTCTGAGTGTAATCATCGATGTAGCAATTGGACTATAGAATGTACTTATTTACAAATGAAAATGAACAAGTATTATTTACGAGGAAGTAATTGAACTTTCTTTTTTATCGCTCTTTTCGTTTCCCTTGCGGTGGATTGACGCGAAACGATTAACAATTATTATAACGAATTACACATGATTTATGCATTTTCGTTTTAGCTTTCTAATAGTACAATCGATATTTGATTGTCATATTTGATTTTCTTAATTTTTGCGTAACAATGTCTTTGTTTCGCGGAAATATTTTTACCGACATTATGAAATATGGAACCGTTAAAACCACTAGCGCAATCTGCCTTGTTGCAATGTAATGCATGTGAAAAATCATAGTGGAAAAGTGTCAACAAAGATGGCAGTTTCATAGAGAGTTGTAAGTTAATGAGTTAAAAAGTTAACGATGGAGGTAAAAAATAATGATTATTTGATCATAATTCTCGTTTGTGTTATATTTCTATTTCGTATATGATTTTCATATAAATTTCTTTATTTAGAAGAAGTATATTGATAAATATAAAATTTCCGTTTACATATTAAATTTTTAACCGTATTTTTATGAAAAAAAATTGATATTTCTAGTTTGTTCTTTTCTGTTTTCTAACAATGATTATCATCTACATTGAAGGCATATTAAGCTTGCACAAAATGATAAAATTTGAGGAATAAGTAGCTTTATTATTTACAGTAGTATATTATAAACAATTAACCAATGGGTAGTGTTTATATAAAATTTTGAATATCTAATTTTTTATTTTTGATTATTCATATTATTGTATGTTTGTTTTTAATTTGTATATAATATATCATAAACTGGTTTTGGAAGGTAATCACTACACAATGCTTGTATTCTTTCCTTACGTGAAACTGGTGTATACCTTCTCATTGGAAAAGTTTTCATTACTCCATCAGTTAAGGCTCTAGTTACTGGTGTTAAATCTGCTTCTGCTCCTTGTGTATATTTTTCAAGAGCCAGCATTTCTTTTTGAAATAATTCTTGACCATATTCTTTTCGAGTTTGAGGATCTAATTGAGTCCACATTTCTCTAGCTTGTTCCAACAATGCGCTATTATCTTTCAACCATGCATTGCCAGATACATATTCACCAGTTTCAACAATAACTACATCTACTCCCCATCTTCTCATTTCTAACCTAAGACACGCTCCCCAAGCTTCAATAGCAGCCTAATGCATATATATAAAATACTTTATTAAAGTCATATGTAATGTATGAAATGTATTATTATTTTTGTAATAATCTACCTTAACTGCACAATAAATGCCTCGAACAGGGCTTGAAATACGAGCTAAAAGGCTGCTAACTAACACAACACGACCTTTTGATCTTCTAATTAGTGGTAAAAAAACCTTTAAATGAAAATCAGTACTTTATTAATTGATTTATTTAATTATTATAATATTTAGGTACTGCATAATTTTGTATAATTTTGATAATATTACCTGTGTTAGGCGAGCAAGACCAATGAAATTAATATCTATGCTACGTTTTAATACAGAAGGGGGCACCCATTCACATTCACCTAAAGTTACCCAAGCAGCAGCATGTACCAATGCCCACAAACCTATAATTTAATATAAATATGTGTTACAACAAACAATATTGTATTTGGTTTTAAATGTTGATGTAAGAATATATAATTTGTAACCTGGTGCTCCATCTGGCAAGTGTTCATTTACATAAAGAAATATTGTGTGAATATCATATTCGCTAGTAACATCTAATTGTAATACGTGTAGTCTACCAGAAGCTTCCTTTTTCAGTCTTTGCATTGCTTCTTCATTTTCTTCTTTTGTGTTAAATCCAGCAAAAACAGTAAATCCCTTTAAAAATAAATATTATATGTATAGAAATATAGTAGAGATAAATGATACCAATTATGACAAGAATATATTATAAATTATCTTACCAATTCATCTAATTGTTTACTCAAAGTATATCCAACCCGTGAATCACAACCTGTAATAAGAACCGCTTTTCCTGCTGCAGTTACCTGTACCAGTTATAGTTCTATGAATTAACATTTTGAGGCATATGCCTACACTGGTATGTTATTTGCATTAGAATTAAAAGATAAATGCCAATGCAAGTAAGTAAAGTTTGAATGGTAATGTCAATGAATTTTAACTTAAAAAAATGTTAATAGGATAATGGTTATAGACATCTAATATGCAACTTTGCTATAGATATAATAAATATATGTGGCTCTAATAACTTACCTTTAAATTGTGGTAAAATAGTGTAGATCCTATAGATATGATCAATAATAAGAGGAAAAGCACAAAACTAGACGTTTGTGATATACTCAATGTATTTAATATAGTTGCTAAAATGACCGCAATTGCATGTGAGAATGCAATTGGAAGAAGACATCTTTCTGCTAATTCCCATGTTTGACTATCATCTGGTTCTTTACTTCCACTTGGTAAAGGCATTTCTGGTTTAACTTTGGTAGTATTTTAAAGAAATATAATCGATTCCATTCAAATGAGACTTGTGGCTCAGCTAAGAGCCCTAACTGGGCTAACTCTGAGCTAACTTTAAACCTAAAACAGTATCTAGTCTCATTGATCTAAATTTAACTGCAGTGCTGTATCTTATATTCATAGATCCTAGTAAAATTATATATTTTGTTTCAAAAGTAATT